TTAATTAGGCCAATAGAACCCTTAATTAGATTTTTAATTAATCATTTTAATTAAAATCTCTAAATTTTCATACTTGTCCAAATGCTCTCAAATTAAAGTATGTTAAACAACATGCCAAGACATAATTTAAAAGCATATCACAAGTCAATTTCATGCAAGGTACGGCCATGGGATTTAATCTTTCACAAAAGATAAATATTAAATAAAATATGCAATTTTTATTCAATCAATACCAATTTAATATATGTTAATAAACATATTAAAACATGATTTTCTAGCATGCCACAATTCAAATTAAAGTTATATATCATCATGAATTTTAAATCTTATACAAAGAAATAAAAATTACGAACTTTCTAAATTTGATACAAGGCATACATATAAGTTGTATAATCATGAGAAACACTCAATACAACACATATAAATCCTAAAACATTTCCTACCTCAATTGGAATGAAAATCCCAATTACCACCGAAATGAAATCGCCCTAAATTTTTGGTCCGCAAGACAGATATTTCAGCTTGTTACCTTCAACTTGGGAAATTCATAAAAAATTCAATTCTAATCCAAATAGAATGAATCCAAAGCCCAATGAAAGCTTAAACACTGTAATTTGATAATATCAATTTAGTTTAACAAAATATTTTCCCAATTGAAATAGTTTTGACCCACAACTTTGAAACAAATTCTGCCTAGAAAACACATTTTCAGCCTGTAGCTTCCAACTTTGAAAATTCATGAAAAATTCATTTGACATCCACATTGGGCAAACCTAATTTATTTTGGAAGTAAACATATGAGAGTGTAAAACTGAAAATTTAAGCCATGATCCAATGTCAAAAGATTAGTGAAATAAATCATCTAAAAATATGTTTTCCAGCTGCAATAAAAACATGGACAGCAGATAGTCTCAGATTTTAAAAAAAATTTAGAAATTCTCTAAAATCGTGAAAAAATTTTGAGTAATGTAAAATCCATGGGAAAAGTTCCAGTAAAAATTTCAAGGTAATTAAAGCACCACAGCTCCATATAAAAATTCGTTTCCGGACCAGATAAGAAAAGATTTAAATTTCCAACAACTAGCTTGCAACTGCAAAAATTCATAACTAATTCATTTTAAATCCAAATTACATGAAACCAAAACTAAATGGAAGATAATTGATTATATTTTCATGTTATATATTTAATTTGACAAGATTTATTTCAAGTTAAAACAGTTTAAGGGCAGAATACAAGTCTTTCTCTTCTATGCATGTAAAACATTCAATAATGACATAAAAATACTTCAAAATAATAGATCAATACCTTACTAGAGAATTGAATCCTTAGATACCAAAGCAAAACTAAGATTTAGGCTATATCCTTCAAGAGTTTTGAAGAGGAGGATGAGGGGAACAAAAAGTATTCCAAGCTTTATGGTTTAAAGTAAGTGGAAGGGCCTCAAAGATCAAGGTCAATGCCTAAAGCTTCAAGCTTCATCCATGGAGGCTAAGGTTTTGTGGTGAGGAAGAAAGAGATGAAATGTGAAAATGTGTGAGTAGAGGAAATAGAAATCCTTCACTCATTATGTGATCCTACACCATGGTCAACACACACATCTATGGTCAATTGCACAAAAACCCACCTTTAAAACCATAATCCTAAAGTGGCCCAAAGATATTTGCAAGACTAAATTGTGAACCTACACTTGTCACCAATCCATGGCTTATTCCTAGGCTTAATCCCACACCTACACTTATCAACCATCCAAGCCAACAAGTGCACCAATCCTAGGCCAACAAGTGGGTGAATCCTCACCTTCAAATGTCATCATCCAATGCATCAAAGTGTTTCCACACAAATGTCAACAAGTGGACCAATGAGAATGTGACACTTGTGACACTTTTTCAAAAATTGCAAAAAAGCCCTTTTTGAAAATATCTTCCAAATTTAATAGCAAAATGGTCCCCAAGATGAAAAATAATTACTTTATTTAACTATACTAAAACCCCACAAGTTAAGAAGAATTACACTAAAGTATGCATTAATGCCCCTTTATGAAGGAAGTAAGCAATCAACATACTTTTCTAGAAAAGTAAAAATACCACTATCATGGAAATCAAATATCATGAATGCATGCAAAACCGGAATCAAATCCGAGTACAAAAGTGAGGTTGTGAAAGGAAAAAGGATAAACAAGAAAAAGACAAAATGTGAATAGTGTTCGGAAAAATAAAATATGGAAATGACACAATCCCCAAAGGAAGTTGTCAATCCAAGGAAAAGAGTCTCAGAAATCATTCCAGAGCACTCGAGACAACATCAAGTGATGAAAAACCGAACCCAAAAAGGAAAAGACAACGGAAAAAAATTATCCGTGAAAATCTGGGTTATTACAAGTCGCGTCGGGATAATTATTTCTTCAGAGAACTCATCGTTCTCACAGACGGCGCCAGCTGTTAATGCGGAAATCCTCACGACGGCGTTTACCTATAAAATAAAGGGACGTCATTTCGAATGGCACCGGTGGGGTACCGGTCGAGGACCCTCCGACGATCAAGTTAGTACTTGTAATCGTATCACATAATAATTATATACATTCTGTTTAGGAGGTTTTTTTTCGTACCTTCTTTAACGGCTTAGTGCCCTATTTATGGCTGTCGATCGTAATCAAATTGGTTCCGTGGGAGATCTACTTGTGTGAGATTAGAAGAGATCGTCTGTTGCCAGATTTGTTGGGGGATATGATTTACTCCTTTGACTTTTCCTCACCCTGTTGAACCACGTCATCATTCATTATACTAGATAAAAAATGTCATCATTCTTATCCGATAGAAATCTTTATCTCTGATAACGAAATATGTCGAAGAGGTCTGGCGGCTATTCAAGGTAGGTTATTTTTCCCTATCAGAATGAACATGCCTGCGTTATTCTCATGTTTAAATGATGTCCCTAATTTAAAGAGCTGGAGTGGACTATTACAAATGGTATCAGAGTTGGAGCTCAAACAGAATTATGGCCAACAAAGACTATCAACGATTCTGACAATGGCGATGAAAACCAATAAAGGCCCGATCTTTTTCGTTTTGTTTTTTGGTTTTCACTTCTGTATTCTTTTATTGGCCTCTCTCTCTCCACCCACCAGCCACCAAAGATATACACATCTCATTGGGTCAACAAAATTTGATACGCATATCAGGAGAAGATAGAAAGAAATTTGGAGTGAAAATTACACAATTAGGAGGAGAGAAAGAGTATGTGTATATATATGTATGTGTGTGTATATATATATAAGGTTCTCATGGAAAATTTGAAGAATTTCTCCATCTAAAACAAATATGTGGTAATTCTATTAGAATGAAAAATGAAATAGACCTTATGCTTGTATGGTGGAAAATTTGGCATCTTGATTTACCTTCCTTTCATTTTGGACTTTTTAGACAACTTACTTCTGGATCTTGGAATTTTCTTTTTATAGGCTGTTTTTGGTAGTTAAGCTACACATTCCTATACCAATTAGATATTATTGTGAGAATCATTTATCCTCGGAATATCCATTTTTCACTCATATCTCAAAATTATTATTAGAAATTACCTCACCCTTGGTTACTGACTATATGTTTCCTTTCCTGCTAGTTGCAGAAGCATCATAAAGCAGTATTCTGGCTCTTTTTATTTTCATATTTTGTCTTTCTCCTTCATATATATATATATATATATATAATGTAATTGTAAATTTGAAAAACATTTAGGATAATTTAGTCTTTTAATATAATTTTTAAGTTCAAGATTTCTTTTGACAAAGTCATAGGGTATTTGTGTAATTTAATTTTAAGTTAAAGATTTCTTTTGACAAAGTCAGAGGGTAATTGTGCCATTTTATAGGGCGTCACATGACGGTTGGAGTATGAAAGAAAAACGAAACAAACGTTTACAGTATGACTGATAGTAATTTTCGAATGGTGTTTTAATATGATATTTGGCCAAACTTGAAGGGTCTTAGTGAAATTAACTCTAAATTTTAATTTATCATGCCACTACAATACATGGATAGCTTTCTTTGAGGCAATGATATACTTTCCATAAGAGAATGAACATGCATGTTCTCAAGTTTAAATGATATTCCAAATTGAAAGAAATGTATCATGATTCGAAATTTGAAACTGAGACATGCTATTTGGTTGGATATTGGCTTAATATGGTAGTGTGAAAAAAATGGTACACTATTGACTAAAACCAAATCGCATTGCACGCATTATTTGCACTTATATATGAATCATAATACATTAGACTAACCATAACAACCACCAACCCGTATACAATTTCGGTCACCCCAAGTCTACATTGTTAGTGTAGATGGGTGCACCAAGAGTCAGCCGCAGAAAGGACAGAGAGTGTGAGAGCACCCCAAGTCTACAATGTGAGTGTAGACAAAAATTGAATTATTTTATAACTGCGCAGTATCTGAGGTATTGCATACTTTTTTTCATAAATCGTAAGTGAAGTATTGTGACCATCGTTGACCAAGGAAGATCGAGGATCAAGTCTCTAAAGAAAGACTAATGGATGCATGTAAATCTAGGGGTGCATAACAGAATCGGAATCGTAGAATCGGAACCGTGAGAATCAGGAACCCTTTTTTCCAGTTCTCACGGTTTCCGTTCCGGTCTCGATTCCGAATTTAGGAACCGTGGATATACGGTTCCAGTTCCAACCCATGGGAACCAGTAAGAACCGGAACTGTATACACACACACACACACATATATATATATATATGTATTATATATTTAATTTTATACTAAAAAAGAAGTATAAAAAACCTATTTTTTTAGTTTTTTGCCCTAAATCTCTCACTCTCTCAGTCCTTGCCTCCTCTCAATCTCTCATCTAAACAGACGAAGTGACAAACCCTAAGCTAACCCTCGCCTCCTCTGAAGTCTGACCTCTCATCGCCCTCGCCTGAGTAAAAGTTGTGTTTGTATTTCAAAGAAAAGCAACTTAGACAGAGAAAGTGAAAGATGTGTTTGGTGTTCGTGTGTGATGAGGACGAAAGGGTGATATCTAGGCAATCGGCACCAGGGTCGTGTCCGTACTATGGAGGGATGATACATGCCAAGGACGTTGAGAGTCAATGGAGGTTCTGTTTCCTGCCTCTATATTTTAGGACCAAGAAAAAGTACTATTGCAGTATGCGTGCTAGGCGTTTGGTCGTCAAATACTAAGACTATTTGTAGATTGAAGCGATGAAGATAGTGGTTCTCTCCTCATCAGAACAATTGGAGACCGATCTCAAATGGGTTAGCCTGATGATTAATGACTACTACTTTAATTTGTTTGGTTTGTTTGCTCATCTTTTTTTTTTTTTTTTTTTTTTTAATTTTTTATTTATGTATATGTATATATATATGAATCATAGGATACATAGGTATGAATATATTGATGATGAAATACTTTTTTGGTAAAATATTACTTTGGTGTATCTTGAAGTTTAGTATTCTTTTTTAATTCTATCACTTGTTTTTTTGTTTTTTTTGTTTTTGTTTTTGTTTTTTTTTTTGAGAAGTATGATTTATAGAAATAAGGGGTATTAATGATTACTAGTATTGGACTGTGTTGGAGTCTGTTTTAAATTTTCCTTATCAAAGGTAGCCTAAATCACATTGATTTAGTTTTGAATTTTGTAGATGGCTAACTATGGTAGTGTAATTATAGAGAAGTCATTTTCTTTTGCTTTTACCATGGATGAACATAATTCTAAAACCTTTATACCTAATCCTTAAAGGAAAAAAACCAAACAGTTAACGGTTCTCATGGAACCGAACCGTTTCTACGGTTCGGTTCCATACTATACGGTTCCTGTTTCGGTTCTATTTTCAAGGAACCGTCGTGAACGGTTCCGATCTAAACCGTGTGCACCCCTATGTAAAACTTCTTACTAGTAACAATGATATGTGTTATATACATGGTAGTTTTCAACTGTGAACATTAATCCTCTCTAATGCATTTTTTGGTGTAATGTAATTTCACCATTTTTTTCAAAAAATTAATTAAAATTATTACTTTAAATGGTGAAATTTCACAATTTTTACTCACAAATAAAAGTAATGTGTGGAAGGAAATTTCTCACTACTCAGGAGACGCCACATGTCAACAGAGTAAATAAAGAAGCCCAACCAAATAAAGCAGCCCAACAAATAGAAACCCAATACCAGAAATGACCTTAAGGCAATAAATTGCCCCAAAGAGGCCAGCAAGGAAAGGCCCAACACTAGGAGCACTTCTAAGATCATGTGCCGCCTCATCAAGCCTAACCTAGATAGCAGCCAAATATAACTGGCAGTAATGCCTAGGATAAATGATGTGCAATAATAAACATTCAAAGCAATATCTGTAACGGCCCATAACGGTCCCTAAGAATTCTGACTGTAACCAGTATAAATACAAAGCCCAGAGAAAGGCATCTGATTCACTTTGTTATTTGCCATTGTTCTTCCTTGATCTCATTTCCATTCTTATACTCTTTTGTTTGTGCTTGTTCTTAATTGAGTGTTTAATCCTTCGGGTCGAATCATCATATTCGAGCCAAAATTTTGTACACTTACACTTTAGCACCTAATGTGGGAAAGGATTAGAAGCCTCTCACCACCATTGTTGAATCCTTTAATACATGCGACATCGTTATGGAATGGCAACGGGATCAGACGCCGCTCAAATGAAGTAGCTAGAAATCATACAAAAAATACGTGAGGAGATGCAGGAACAATTCAATACCATACGACAGGCAAGCGAGGCCAGTGCTCAACAAATCAATACTTCGAGACAAGCTAGCGAGGCAAATGCCGCTCATATCAATGCCCTGCAGTAAGAGAATGAAGAGCTCAAAGCCGTCATTTAGTTGGCCAACATGCCTCCTCCCCCAGCTACCAATCGGCAGATCCCCAGGGTCAGCAACACGAATGGGAGAATGAATAGCCAAACTGCCCCCCAGCCCAGCTGTTCAAGATGACAACAACAATCCTCAACAATTTAGGGTCCCTCCAAACCCTGACGCACCTTGAACAACACCTGAATAGAATGTAAACGATGCGGCCAATCATTCCAAAGTTACGATAGAATCAACATTGGGAGTGCTATGTCATACGCGAACACAAGGCTTTGAAGATCACGCCGAATCTGAGAAACGCAATACTCTATTGCCAAAAGAGTATCTTCAGCATTTGACTGGTAACAATATCCTAGCAAGCTTCAGGAGAGAAGTGGACGAACAGATCAAAGGATTGAAGGCCCAGATGCCAGAAGACATGGTAAGGGAGTTCACAACCTCCATAATCAAAACCTCTTTCACCGATGAAATAGAATAAGTTAAGAGGCCAAAGAAGTTTGTTATGCCAAAACTCATCAAATTTGATGGGATCGGAGATCCAATGAAACATCTAGATCATTATAGTCAGGAAATGACCCTGGACGCTCAAAATGATCTATTCCTGTGCAAAATATTCCCATCCAGCCTAATAGGGGAAGCACTGGAGTGGTTCAAAAACTGATTACACAAATCAATCCTGGATTTCAAAACATTGTGCATGGTATTTCTGGTGCAATATTGCAGAAATAGAAAGCAGAAGAAAACCATATCCAGTCTGTTCACTATATGGCAAATGAAAGGGGAAAAACTCAAAAATTTCCTGACCAGGTTTAATATGGAATCTTCAGGAATCTCCGACTGTAACCAAGCAACCGCTATGGAGGCATTCAAAATAACAATGATTCAAGGTATCAGGTTCAATGATTTATTAATCAAGAAGACTCTGGTTAACATGTCAGAGCCAAATGCAAGAGCCCAAAACTACATAAGGCTCGAGGAAAATGAAGCCAACAGGAAGCACAGAGAAACCCTGGTTATAGTGGAAAGCCACTCCCGAGAATAAATGAACATTCCAAAGGCTTAGCGAGAACCACCGAGTTTCGAGAATAGAGCCCCAGAAGAAAGGTCGTGTGACGACCCTGGATTTTTCAACCTAGTGTGCCCTATGATGACCCGAAATGGATCCAAATATGTGGAAGCAAAACATAAACAAGTTCTTAGAGATGTACGTCATTTCTAAGACATAAGAATGGCCCTTCGACGAATTTTGAGGCTCAACGGAAGCAAAACGAAGACAAGGGCATCAAAATCCTACAAAAGAAGGACCAAAGAGTAAAATGACCATTTTACCCTAAGAGGAAGGAATTTGACTTCCAACAAGTCAAATTAGATCAAAAACATCATTTGGCAACTTCACATGAAGTCCCAAGGCCAAAGGAAGAGAAATCCCAAATAAACCCTATTCCGGTTCGAACCAAATATGACACCTTCTTCACTAAAACTTGAATATCTTGATCTATAAATAGAATCTGAAGCTGAAATTGGTACGATTGGAAAAATATTTCAACGTGGTCTATTTAGACTCAAGAACAGACCAATTCGGAGCTAAAATAAAGGAGATACGATGATTTGAAGTCGGAGGTGCAGTGCTGAACCAAGACACACACACACACACACACATGTGAACAGTACGGAAGAGCGCTCGTCCAAGGGTGACGAGCACTCGTACAGAGCACGCCCTAGGGCAAAAACCCATAGCCCTATTTACGAGTGCTCGGCCTGTAGACAAGCTTAGCAGTTTTTTGAGTTTGAAATGTGATTTTGAGGACTTTCTAGGCTTTTTTTGAAAAAAACACAAAGAAGAACCCCCCCCCCCCCCCCCCCCCCCCGCCAAAAAAAATTCATGCTTTCTGTGATACCCTTCGAATTTGAGACATGGGTTGATCAGGCCCAAACCCAATCCCGAGGGAAATATCAAACAATTAATATTTAAAAAAACACGGAATACAAATGAAATAAGAAATAAATAAAAGTTGAATGAATTATAGAAAAATAAAATCCTTTAAAATTAAATGCTTCAAATCTAGCATTTCAAAACCCTCCAACAGTTTAACAACTCGGGAATCCATCTCTAGTGGACCCCTAATTAAAACCAACTGAAATGAAAGTAAACTGAAAGAATATCTGAAGTTAAACCACGGAGAGAAGTCCTATGTCGTCGGAAGAGTGAGTGATAGTCTCTACTTAGCACGATCGAGTCTACGACTGGAACTGTCAAACACCTGAAAAATAGAAGTGGGTCAGGCCCATGAACAAGTTCTATCCTACTATAATCCAAACAGAGACTCGATACGCATATACATCCTAACCAACTTAACAATAACTATATAGTTCATAAATATATATATATTCACACTAAAGGACTCTCACTGGACTACAGGCCGGTCTCAACCTGAATAGAGGCAACATGCAAAACACACCCGAAGTGGGCATGTATACCTAAGCCTAACAGGGTACACCTCTAACCATCATAGCCAGCTATGCATCCCAATGCATATATACGCCCTAACCATCGATCCTGAGACTCAAGCTCATATCGAGGTACTATAACAATATATTTAAAATCCGTCCAGAATTCATAGTAGTGCCGCTCAACTATTCGTTGCCTTGACACTACAAATCAATAGGATTTAACTTTTAGTTAATCCATTCCTTAATTCCAAAGTAGGTAGGGCTTAGCGTTTTGGAGCTAATCCCCTTAGTATGCCACCGTCCCATACCGGTGCATACAATCCATCCATCCAGCAGTTGATAATACAGACAATGAATGTAAATATCAACTAATCCATAAATCTAACAATTGATAATAAAAATATTAAATATAACCATCAATTGTTCCATAATAAGCATAGTAAAATTATGTATTTTAACATGCTGATTTTACAATACTCAACCAAAATCCAACAATTGACAATACAACAGTATATGTAAATATTAATTTATCCCCAGAATCCGTTTAATTGACAAAACATAAATGTACACATCAATTAATTCCATAGCGAGCATAATAAACGTAGGCGAACTATCATGCTTCTAATACCAGTCCAACAATTTATGCAATAATTGCTGAAATTGAAACATTAAGTAATCCTTAACAAGCATAATTAAATATATATATTTTAATATGCTTAACTTATTCCACTGTTACATGATTAGAATTGGATAATTATTTACAGAAAAATTGCTAGAACAACATAAGCAATCGCATCCCCTAATAGTTTGTAGCTTTGTTAGGAACTGTATACTGTTCAACCTATAAACCCTAGGTGGTTTATTATCCATTCCCACATCCTCTGGAGCTTTAATACAACCTCAGATCTCATCTAAGTTCCCATGTACAGTCCCTGAATACTCCAGAAAGTTCAAAAACCAACCCAGAAGCAAAAATATGCCAAAAATGCATCAAAAGGGGGTGGAGCCGCCTCCCCCTTGAGTGGAGCCGGCTCCACACCATGTGGAGCCACCTTTACTTCCCTTGGAGCCGGCTCCACCCTTATGGGGAGCCGCCTCTACTCACAGGAACCCATACTGCTTGTTTCCTTCACCCGTTTCACCTTCAGTGACTTCCATGCCTTCTGTACTCCATAGTTAAGGTTCCTACTGGTTAATACTAGGTCCTAGTGTGTTTCAGAGATTATAAATTCATTATTTGATAAACAACATCAATTACAACAAGAATTATGCAAAGAAGATTTTAAATCAAACAAATACCACATCGTGAACACCTACTGTTTTGATCATATAAAACATGTAAACCAGTTTTAATTTAACTGTTATTTAATCCTAGAATTGTGTTAGGCATGTAAAGAACACGAGCCAA